AATAGCAAAACTGATCAGTAGTTTTATGAGTTATCGCCTTATGAAAACGACTGCATCTTATCTTCCCTTTATGCGGAAGCTATAGAAAAGAGAGCGAGAAACTGTAGAAAGCAATCATTATCATCAGGACAAGATGCATCTACGAAATCGTCAATCGATTGCTTGTACGAGTTATTTTTTTTGAAGGATGATTTTTACCCATTGTTTGCGTTTTTGTTGGAAACGATGGGAAATATTCTCTAAGCAGTGTTTCAATTTGATGCAATAATGCTAAGTGAGCGGTATAGGTTCCGTGAAGCCTCTAGTTTAGTCTTGACATTATTTTGTTTTCTCAATCATGTTTTATCATCTCGGAATTGAAAAGACAATTGCCAAAGTCAGACTTATTAGTGTTCTGTATGGTTTTTAGTGGTTGTAGATCACTTGAAATTCACCTCTCGTTAATCACAATGAAACGGTAATCTTTGTTTTAATAGTATTACAAGCCGACTTAAATGTTCTGCCTAATATGGTTATAAAAGATGATATATATATATATAATTCAGATAAGTGTTAATTAGAAAATCACTACCATTAACGCTCTCTCTCTCTCTCTCTCTCTCTCTCTCTCTCTCTCTCTCTGTGTGTGTGTGTGGTGACATCATTAAAAGGGTTAATTGTATTTTTACTTGACACATTTTTTCCAGTTTTACTCGAAAATTACTATTTTTTATTTGCTTTTAACAGACACACGGCTGAACAAAATATAAAAAAGCCTTATTTATAATTTATTCATGTTGTAAAATATAATTCGTCATCATTTACATGGTTTTGAAACTAGAATGAATTATTCTATAACATATGTTTTGCTGTCGATTTCATTGAAAATCAAATTAAATTAATATTGTTTCAACTAGATTTCATAAATGAAAATGTTATATTTAACTCTTAACAATGGTTAGAATAAAGACTTATTTACATATTGCCGCATTTTTGTTTGAATACCTACATTTAGAAAATGATTAAAGAGATTTGTACTTAATGAATGATTTATTTGAACTGCTGGTTGGTATAAAGGGAGATGTGGTATTATTTCCATAAGTGGATATCTATCCATAAAGACCTATGGACAAACTGTTGAAAAATGCAAGTTGATGTACGGCCTTGAACTGTTTTCAAACATTTGCTCATACATCTGTTAAGTTCTATAAAAATAACCGTAAATAAATGATGTCAACAACAAAACAATTCTCACATATAGAAGAAGCCTTCATGTAACACCTAGATATAACAAAAACTACGAAAAGACAAACAAAAGATCCTAAACTACAGATTCAGCAAAAAGAAACACAGGGGAAATTATTGAGCAATAGGAACCTCACTGGAAACTGTGTATAAACTTGATAAACTCAGATATGTTAGTGTGGTACATTTGTATGCAGATCATTCTCAATTAGAGTTTTCCCGTGTTGAAAGCAGAACATGGAACTACGGCATTCCACTGAATTTGTATATACAACTGTTTCGTGTTTAATTAATACAGATAAAAGAAAAAAGACGAATACACAGTAAATTATTACAAAATTTCCGAACTAAAATAAAACATTTAGATGTTAGTGTATGAAATGATTTAAACAAACAATCTGAAATAAGGCGACAGCAGTTTAATAATTTTCTAATCACGTAAATCCATTAAGAGTAAACAAATCAAGGTAACAAACAAAAATCGAATGAATTACATGAACTCAAAAGAAGCACGAACGGTTGTGTATACACGAAGCACTCGCCATTTGAATTCACACTCAGTCAACATATTGAAATCGGGAACGCGAAAAAAGAAGTGAAATTACAGATCACTTTTTTGGTATCTAAGATTTAAGACCGCGAAACCACGTAGCTAGAAAGTTGAAATATCGATACATCGTATCGGTCAACCGATTCGTAATAGTCACCGTAAAAAATATAAAGTGTCGATTTCAATCGTTCTAAATAGTTTTCTTAGCGTAAGAAACGACTGTTTATTATGTATTCTATGGTATAAAATATCTGAATGTAATAAAAGTGTTATAATAAAACACTATTATTACATTTGTTCTTTTTGTTAACTCTGAAAACATTACTTCGTTTGATTAAAATTATCACATTTCGTATGTAACTTAACCTTAAAACAGTTTTGTATATATCTTCTCTTGAATATGTTTTGATATCACTGTAAGTGAGACATATGGTTTTGTAATAATAATGGTAATTAAAAGAGGGGCGAAAGATACCAGAGGGACAGTCAAACTCATAGATCGAAAATAAACTGACAATGCCATGGCTAAAAAATTAACATGTAGCCACATTTAAACTCTTGAAATTGAAAAGGAACGTCATTCAAAATACACAATTTGATTCATTAGCAAATATTTCCATTATCCACTCATTCCATTCAGTGAAATATTAGGGAAAAAAATGTTTGTATGGAAGAATTTGTGTTTAGAATTATTTGTCTTCTGATCGGGTATATAATCTAACAATAAAAGAGAATAATAATGATTTCATGATGAAAATGGAAAGATATAAAGACGACATTTTTTATGTAAAAATGTAACTTGGTTTATTTCAACTCATTTACGGTGTAATTCCTTTTAATATATCGAAAAGATAAATTAAAAACCTTTGTTAAGAAGGATTGAAGGAGATTTTTCATTCGAATGCTTTGTTATTTCGTCGGTTATTCAGTACATTAATTGAAATTATAAGAATTAAAAAAAAATATATATACGTAAATTTTACTTTCAACGCTGGTACGTTTATATCAGGATAACGGAATATACTCGATGAAACAATCACAATACAAACAAACATTACTCGAGCAGGGAAATTGAATTAAATATATGATAGGTAACAGCTTTTTGAAGTTTTTCTGCGCGTATAGTATAAAGTTAAGAAAACCGTTAAGTTGATATTACATTCCCTTTTTGTAAACACGGCATACGTTCTTAATGAGATATAAATATTCTTAATATGCAGACTGCAAAAAAGATGAAAAGTGTGTTTGGATCCATAGTTTAATTACATATACCTCTTTATTTATGGACTTTTGTTTGTCAAAATTCAACCATCAGAACTGTATCCGAACACACAGATAAATTACAAGAAAAGAACTATTATAGGATTGTTCAAAAAAAGAAAGTATTAATCAGAAATATCGACCTCAAACGTTAATCTAGAAAGAAGGGGAAGCCCTTAAACAAAACAAATTCAAAGGCTTGACTAAATCAACCAACGGAACCTTCTTTTAAACTTCACCTGTGAATTTTTTTCTGGTACATTTTAGTGTCTTTTGTTTATTTAAGTTTCTTTTGTTGAAAATTAACACACATATTTGAGAATATGTAGATTGTTGCATTAAGAGATACGTGATATGGTTTGTTTGTTTCTTTATCGACAGAAATTCTATTTTAGATATAAAAGGCCTGCTCTGGACAGGAGCTATAATGATTAACTGTGCAGAAATTGAATAGTTATAGCATTTGTTTTTTTTTCTTGAAAGTTTTTGCTCTTAGCCATATGTATTGAATTACAGACATTATATTTTATGTATTAGCAAATATGGAAGATGATTATAAGAATTCAAGAATTTAGAATATCGGAAAATGTTCAATTAACAACACATTTAGTCTCAAATGTATTGTTGTTTAGTCGCATTTTGATATAGATAGTATTTATTTTGTATTGTGGCATGAAGATTGAATATTGTCTCTGCATGATATTTCTTTTAGTCGCGGTGTTGTTCTGTCATCTTTCTTCTTTTGAATGTCATTGTTTTATCTTATGAAGTTTTTAACTTTCATTTGAATATTGGACTTCAAGTAAAACTCTCTAAAATATTTGTTCTTCCTGACGTATAAACCTATTTTAAAAGTTTCAGATTAGAATAATATCTTCTTCTTTCATTTAAATGTAGTAAAAATAAAAGTTAAAACCAGCCAATGCACGCAAAATCGCAACAACTATATTAAGAATTGCGAAAGACATGTAGCTGATGAATACGTACTGAAAATAAAATCACGGAAAATATTTGTATTCTGAATTTATCATTAGTGTTTCGGATTTGAATTTTACATAAATAGATATTCGTTTTCTTTAACCAGAAACTTTTAACCGACGGATTTAAGGTACCGTGACTTCTTGAATGCATATCTTATGAATTGCTTCGTATATACCTTTAACATTGGCATCATACTTTAAATATGCAAATACTTCATTCTTCTATAATTCAATAGTCACGAGAATATTAACTAATGTTAATTGAAAACGTATTGTCAATCTATTGAATATCAGTTTGCCACTTAATGACGAATACAATACAATACATACATGCTGAGTTAACATAGCATATTACCGGGGAACAAATGTCATGACAACCCTTTTCTTTACCAGATTGATTTCCAGATTTGAGAACACGTACATGTAGAAAGGGAGCACTTTAACTTGTTATTGAAGTAGGAGCTGCAAGATAATCTAAGGGACTAAACAATGACAAATTCTTCATGAAAAAATGTAAAAGACAGTTCTCAAATAAAATAAAAGATTTATAAACCATAAATGTACAAAATTTATTTGGAGAAATACCAAATAAAAAAAAGAATAATACATGACTGAGAAAGTTTAGGAAAAACAAAATAAATGAACGACTCCCTCCCCTAGCTAATAAAATGAAAAGTTATACAAGTCTATAATCTAATTTCAGATTATTTGACATAGCAAGGACATTTGTTGGAATACATGTGAACTATATCCTTTTAAAACGTCCATGTCATAGATCGTTATCTATTTAAAAACACACAAAAAATCTTTAAGGTTTTCAATAGCTTATTTATAAACTGGATTAAATCCTTAGAGAGAAATAATGTTTTTTATTGTTAGATTTGTGCAACATGTGTATATGTAATTCATATATAATTGAAGATAAGAAAAAATGTATAACATATCATTAGATACACATTTTTATTGACAAACCAATTATGTTTCAGGTTTTCATTTTTAGTGTACTAAGAGGGCCATTTGAGGAGGATTTTTATCAATGTATAGACAAAAACTACCCGATGAAGCAATATCAAAAAATGTACAACTTGTTTTCATTGATAACACAGTTCATGATACCCTTAGGAATAATGGTTGTGACATATGGTCTCATATTTTATACAATATCTAAAACATCTAAGGATTTCAGAGGTATGTACTGTGATTAAAACGATCTCAACGTTAAAACTGCTTCTTTTTTATTGTAAATTAAATTTCTTATGTAGTCAATTAACCTGCAGTTGAGGTGTACTTAGTCTTGATTTCCTGCACCTGTAAATCTGAGTCTAAGTCTAAATTGGTCTAAGGATATTTGAATTCGCACAATAGGGGACATTTGGAAAAGAATTACCTCCATTGTAGCGTAGCTGAGTATACTTATATTTTGGATATCTAAGTAAATTTACTATGTCCCGTAAGCAATGCATTGGGTTCGTTGCCGGATGGAAAAAGTCTAGATAACTGGACTTTTGCACCCCAGTCAAACTTTAAAAAACGGTATGCTCACTACAAAATAGTTTATTTGGCCTTGGGCTGTTTTCTGTTGTTTGATTGGCTTCTTGTCTCTTTGACGCATTCCCCATTTCCATTTTCCATTTTATTTAAAACCCAAGTAGGAACATTTTCATGTATGTTTGTCTGCAACCTCAGTTGAATGTTTGCGTATTCAGTAAATCAAGAAATCAAAATTATCATTAAAATAAACGAAATGTTAGTATGCATTTTCTTTAAATCCTCTACAAATTCAACAACATGTATTTCATTCGGACATACATGAATGTATATATCTATAAATGATGCAGTACAATTTAAAAAAGTATCTTTGTGACACGTGTAGTGACATCATACATATAATTAACTTCATTCAATAAAACTTTAACTCACTTGGAACAAGATAATCCTCTTTAATGTATTTTAAAATGATCCGACACTTGTCGGGATTGAAATCATATACTATTACTTTAAAGTACTTTATTACTTTTATAACAACAGATCTGTGTTCAAACAATGCGATAATACACCATAATCCACTACGTTTTAAGCAATTGCATCTTACCCCATTCCCTTTACCTACTTAACTATACTCCATATCCAAGCATTCAATATTACACATTAAGCAAATTAAATTGCAGACAAATTGTGCGATTAAAATTATCAATATTTTAAAAAAATTGAATAAATAACGAAAGTGTAAAAAAAATTCTTTGTTACCCATCATACTATGCTCCTCCCATTGCACGATACATTATTATCTCAACACGTTTCATCATTCCCAATTGAACGATACACAAGTCCAATAACACCATGCATTATTGACTTTTGCACGGTAAGTAGTAGTCTTGCACGTTTTATGTTGGACCTATATACACTGTATATGTACGTCAAAATGTCATCAGTTAGCTAATTACACTGTAACGGAGTTATGAATTTATCATCAATAAATTGCTTGTTCAGAATCTAAGCAGATTGTCGCTAAATTAAGACTGCGTAAATCGTGTACTACATATAGGAAATCATTCTGAAATGAATATGTGAAAATGATTGAAGTCAATATAGAGACATAATTACAAAATATTATAAGAAAACATTTATTAAACATATTTGTCTGAAAGCAATCAGAAAAAAAGAACAAAAATAGTACGATCAACAGAATATCCTATGTTTTTATTTGCAGAGCCAGAACATGTTTCCTCGTCGTCAGAATTTGCCAGGGGACAGGTTAGAAATGTGTTCATGCGAAAAGCTAAGCGAAAGGCTCTGAGAATGTCAATTTTTATTGTTGGAACATTTATTATCTGCTGGTTTCCATACTATGTTATATTTACAAGAAAAGCTTTCGGTGATTCAGAGGAAATGTATGATGCCACATTATTGACAGTTTTAACAACAATTGGACAGTCTAACGCAGTTTTGAATCCTATCATTTATGGAGCTTTTCATATGTGCAAGCTGCATAAACCAAGGTAAGTCGAGAAATCCATTTTTTCAAAACCCAGTAATAAACATGACTGTAGTGGTTACATCTTCGTGTTGGTGCGACCTACAGATGTCAAATGTATTAAGATAAGGCCTAGTAAAATCCGCCTGTATATTTAAAAAGAGGTCAGTGAATGATATTTCGCTTTTATGTTTTATTTGATTTGTACTTCACAAACCGAAAGATTAGAAAATGAATATTTAAACTGGTTTACAAAAAAGAAGTTCTTTTTTGTGTTGTTTCTTTTGTTTTTTTTGGTTGTTGTTGTGATTTCAGTGTCTGCAAACTGTGGAATTAAAGTGTTTAATATCACCTATCGAAAACTATGATTATATTGATTTCCATTTGGAAAACATCCCTCTTAAATGTTTACAAATTTACTAATTGTTGAATTTGAATTTACCAAACATATGATAACAAAGGAAGTTGCAGTCACCCTTTTTTGTCGTAATTTTCAGTTGAGATGTAACTTAAGATATGAAACAGACCAAAATGTATCCATGATACTCTTTATCTAATATCTTTATTAAGGGCAATTTCTAGATCGCATATTATTAGTTGACGTCCAACAATAATAATTTTGCTGTAAATTTAACAAATCGGATATCAATCTTGACATTGAGATTGGAATTGCTCGGGTAATTGAGGTAAACAAGTTTCAACCAATAAACGGAACGGGTGTAAACATTCCTGCATAACATGCATATGAAATATATAGTTCCCTATGTTCCAGTATTTTTTGTTTTATTTTATTGTCTAATACGATAGCTTCGAATGTGCTAGTTTCTTACAGTAATAGTTAACTCTTGACACTAACTGTTATGTGCATAGTATGCACATGATATTTGCCACAAGATATAAGCAATTACAAATAAATCAATGTATTAACCTTTTTAGTTTGTCGGTCTTTATACACATTTATAATATTTGAGGACTTAATACCGAGCATTGTATAAAAACAAAACAAGATATTTCGTTTCGATGGTAATTTTCCTGCAATTCCATTTTACAGCAGACTTCAGTAATAAAAAAAACCACGAGAACAGGTTCACAAAGTTACTTTTGTGTTTTCGGGTTTTCGATTTTGTTGGATACTTCTTAAGATAACATGATCTGGAAGAGCCTGTCAACTGAAACAAACACCACAGAACCGGTCATGATGTGGACGATGCTTATCATTAGTCCTTGGAAATAATTTCAAGGTTTTTACAAAATGACCAAAACTGCAAATGATTTTAAAAGAGTGATATTACTAAATACAAGATTTAACATATCACTGGAAAATATCTACCTGAACATATCAAAGCTAAAATACAAATTACAGAATTATTTTTTGTTTAATATCAAACCAAAAGTACAATGCTATTAAGGCTACAACATGGAGCAAACGAATAATGTTCGCCGAAAGGCCGGTAGATTTAGTTTGAGCAGAAGTCCTAGCAAGATCTTACTTACGCTCAATATGTGCTGTTCTTACGATAATACCATTTTCAGTACAGAAACAATGCAAAACAGTTAAATGGGAACACCATTGCATTTAATCTGAAGGCTTAATTGGTTTATATCAGAAAAAAAAACAACATTCAAAGTAGTCAGGTATAACATTAAATCAGTATATCATATATTTACAGATTTATGAAAAGAACCACATCACCAGGTACATGCGATAAAATGCCTTTCATTCGTGGTAACCCTAAAACAGACGACGAAGCAGCTAATGGTACAAACATGACATTACTAGCGATGAGAAGGAATACTGTTATCGTGTGTAAGTGTAATCAAACTCCAGTCGTGCTACAAGAATCAACAGTCCCATGTATTATTATCATGTGTAAATGTGAGGAAGGAGTTAAACCAATATCAGAGGAAGCGACATCTTCTGGTGATACATAATTCAACAGAACAACATGTTTCATATATACCAAGAAAATGTTGATACGATTCCAAAAGAAATTGAAAAGAAAGTTATTTATTTATATATATATTAATGATACAATTTCATCAGGTTTTAAAAGTCAAATCTGTCTATTGTATTACTTTTAGAATGTTATGACATTAGAACTACCATGACATATTTGTTTTTAACTCGATATTTAATCATTACAGAAAAAAGATTTACGGTATCATTGATGAGTTATCTCAACTGTAAATGAAAACTCATCAAATATAACAGACTTATAATTGGGTACGCCAGACTCGCGTTTCGTCTGCATAAGACTTATCGGTAAAGTTGTAAAAAGAAAATTCGTTTCTTTCTAGCTACATTTAATTTTAAAGGCGAAATAAGAACACACTTTCACGTTTTTGAAAACCAATTCATGATATCAACGTTTCGTTAATACTGTTTATAATACAACACGTAGTTAATAGTCTTTGTCTGACATCTTGCGGGAGTAAACATTTGAATATCGGGTTTTATACGTCTATATCAATATTCTATTGAAACATCATTAGGTATATTTCACGAAATGTAAAATATTATACTGTACTCAAACTATTAAAAGACATTCATAGGACTTAAAAAAAAAACAGGTATCAAAATATCACAGATTGTAATTTTTCACAACGCTACATTCTAGAAGAGTCACATGTGCACATGTTATTCTAACAAATCTTTTACTTGGGTATTTCTGAAATTGATTGACTTGTGCTACTATTATATGGCCAAAATAATATTTATAGTTTTTATGCTATTAATATAGGACGAAATGAGTTGAGCATTATTAAACAATAATTGAACAATACAAATTCATCACATTTAAAACAAAGATTTTACTGTTTTACCAGCAAACATTATATTTTGAAACACATTGATTATCTCAAAATTTGTTTGTGTTTTGAAGACCTTAAAATGTCATATTTTTGGTTTTTGAGTTGTTAAGGTGCTGTCTCGGTGATACAAACCCAAACTCTTCTTGGTTTTTACATGCGATATAGACAAACAGAAAACGTTATCAACAAAAAATGAAATAAGCCAGTACAATAGTTAAAATATGAATTTTCAACCCACAATTTAATTTGTTCAAGACTTGATAGATAAATCATATCTCTTTTACAAATCTACAGATGATTGAAAACAATGATTCCCTGAGGTAAAACAGTGATTCGCTTTCTAGTTTCTATATTTTTTATTGGTCTCATGTTTTTTCTGCCATATTGATGATATGGTCGTTGGAATGAAGAGAAGTAATAATCTTTGAAATAAAATATTTTTCGTTATATTCATGTTTTGAAATTGCTCACTAAAACAAAGACTGGAAAAAAATATGTATAATAGAATATTTTTGTTATTTATATGAATTGTTAAAGTGCTGGTTATGTTTAAAATAAACACGAAAACAAAAGTAGTAATGCTATTGATAACACAGTGCATTACATATATCTACAGGGCAAACCTCTCTTTTACAAACAAGATAAACAGAGAAAGTTTACCAGATTTAATATCCGACAACGTGATATTAACTTTTTTATTTGCCGACGACGATTATATGTATTACAAAAGAGTTGATACACGATTATGGTATTTTAAGGTATTTTCAAAACTTAAACAGATTTTGAAAGACTAATATGTCTACTATTCAATTCTTACCTGCTCCGGGTGTACATAATGGTGATGTAGGCATAAAAGGCATCGGTTTGAGATGAGGTAGTTGGCAAAAGATTTCCCGAATAGACTAAATAGGACTCTGTAAGGGATTCTGAGGAGCAATAAAACTTTCAAAACTGTCAAGATTTGCTCAAGGGAAGAACTATCAAAATCAAAAACTTTTGTAAGTATATCTGTTCAAATTGTTCTAGATTAGGACTTTTAAAAACTATCCTAAAGAAGAAAACAGTAAAATAACAAAAATACTAAACTGAAAGCCCCTTATCAAATGGCAAAAATCAAAATTTCAAACACATCAAACGGGAAAACAAATATCATATTCCTGACAGAACAGAGAATGACAGAAACTGTTCTAAAGATGTCAAATGAGCTGTTCTACAGATTTGTTTCGAACCATTTGCCTTAAAATTACTAAAAGATTTTAAGAGCGTTAAATCTGAGCCCAATTTTATTTCTGATTTATCGTTATTGTAACATTTGTTGTTCGATTTTTGGAGAGAGAAACCTGGATGTTAATTTTTTACATAATCCCACCAAAGGATCATGTTCATAACGAAAGTCAGGACGTCATTTATGGTTCATCTTTTGTATATCATATGTTATTTGTAATTTAGAGAATTTGAAATTGGTTGTAGATTATTTTAATGTTAGATTAAGAGGTAGGTCATCTTATATTTTTTAATAAATTTACTACCGCATGTTAACCTCTAGAGATATCTATGGATTTTTGTGTCTTTGATTTATAGTCTTGTTGGTTACCCCATATATTCTTTAATTTTTATACTAAAGAAAAACGTCGTTGGGTAATACAACTGGCATACCATTCGTTTACAAGACAATAGCAAATTCACATAAGCATTCTAGTATTTAAAAAAACTAAATGTTTTGAGTATATGCTGATAATAAAGGCAACACTTCATTCAAAGTCATGTACTAAAACACTTTCGATTAATCTTGTAATACAGTAAGTGTTTACTGTCGTTAAAATCGTATTATATTTTGATATTTGTATACTATTAGTTACACATTGTGATAGTGACCTAAGACGATATATACAGGGTCAGTAAATTTAATAGGGAGTTTACTGTCCAAATATCTATTGTATTAGGTCACTAACACACAGTGTAATGGATTTATTTTACTGACTATCTAAATATGTGGGATTTCGGCTAGTATTCTTTTAAAGTGATCAAGTCGTCAATATCAAGAACCTTCATCAATTTGTCTATACAAAAAAACAAATGCCAACAAAAGCAAATTGCTAGCTTTTAATGTGTTTTCTGTATTTATTTTCAATTATTTAATACCAATTTCTTCATTTGTTGTCGTGGCGAAACGTTTCAGATATATCGTCAACGCTTAGTTGTTTTTATAAAGTGACATAACACCATTGCTAACCGTGTATTAGAATAAAACACTCCCACTGGCGAAATATTAAATATACACGGGCTCCACGTGTTCGCTTTTAACCAATGATATTTGTAGAAGTGTATATGAGTTAAGATAATTATATATACATAAATGAGATACCACATAGGCAGCAAAAACTCGAGACAAACCAAATTTTTCCGTAATAGTAGCTCTTTCAGTTCTATATTGACATCCGCCATGGTATCACTGTTAAAATATGTGTATTAACCATACAAAATGAAAGTTAGAAAGTCTTCATACAAGAGAGGATAAGTAACTGCCTGTCTCACTCTAAGATAGCACACGTAGTTAGATTTGATTGTATAACCCTTATTCAAGTCCTAACGTGGCAAATTGATTTGAAAACAGTTTTTTCCTGGTCAACAGATACATTATACTTTTACTAAAAGAAACGAAGAAAACAACAATTGCTTTTTTTCCTGGCTGCGTCATAACGTTATTTAAACCGGAATACATTAAATATATATTTGAATGTTACATGACGTAAGTCGTACATCATATTCCCATCATTAAACGCAGTTATTATCAACAGGACAATAACACATAAATCTAGAACAGATCATTTAAAATGAGTTTATGAGATTTAATGAATGTAATTTATGCCCTTACAGCACAAAAAGCTTATATCGATTCAATAAGAATCATGTCTGGGTAACACCGTGAAGAACGTCACAGGCCGGATGTTGACTATGTAAGACTTGGGGTGACGTATTCGAAGCGAAAAAAAAACCAATCGAAGTAAATGCAAAAACTAATGCAGAATTATCTTTTTGAGAATTGAAAGTGCTAAATCCGATATTTCACTGAAGGTATCAGTTAATAACCAATATCCCAAATTATATACAAAGGTTTATAAATAAAATTCATTTTTATGGACCCGGTTTCAAATATTTTTATAAACATTAATTCATGTTATCATGATTATAGTATGAAACCTATTATCGGCTTCAAAATAAAAAATCTTGGTTTTTTCATTTTGCCTCGATATATAAAGTGCCGCTAGGGGTGATAGATTTTGTATCATTTGAATAGGCATTTATTAGAACAAGACAATTTGTCTGTGTAAACTAATTTTACATCGATATTAACAATATATCTCGTCGGACTGTCTCGTCCTCTTTCTCAATACCTAATAGAAAAATATTCAGTGCTATCTTCACAAATATATAATAAGGGATAGGCTTGAGCTATAGACTCTATGTACAGAAGTTATGTATCCCTTTGTTCAGTTTTGCAGTTTTCTCTTTATTTGTCTTTGTACAGTTATGTTCGTTTTGGTCATATGCCTCCTGTAATGGTTCGGTATTTGTGTACCAGACTTCGATTGTTTTGTTTTATGTGTTTCTGATTCGGGTTGGTCAAGAGGAGCTCTTTGATTATAGTGTTAATTTCATACTGTGTACTCTCGTATTTATCTTTTACCTAATTTGAACTATATCGAGAATTGTGTAAATGTCAATATTTTTTGTTATGTTTATTTACTCTTTCATATTTTCTGTCAACTACATTGGTTTGTTAGTTCATGTTGACGTCTTTGTTTGAATTAATTGCATGTTTGTTTGATGTCAATTTTGACGAAACTTTATACAACTGTCAGTCAAATGGGAGGTTAAGATTGCTATAAAACAGGTTTAACCCACCGTTTGCATCGAATATTGCAAGTCAGAAATACAGTCGGTTGATACAATCTAACATTTGGTTATGTCAGGGTTTATGGACTACCTCTTATGTTTCAAATTGCCTTGGAATTTTTTATTTTTGTTAAATTGTTATATATAAGTATTAAAAAAACCAGGACCCCCACATTAAGTTTTTGTATATGAATAATCGACAAAAAAGTCTAATGTTATAAAAAAAATAAATATGATTATATACGGTATACTCATGTTGCCTTTATTTACTGTTATACAAAATAGCCATCTATAAGATTTTCATTTTTTTTTTCGTAGAAACTACAAGAGTTACATTTCAATTAGAATAACGCTTCATATCCTTCGTATTTTAATATCCTGATCCAAATACCTATAAGGGTAGTGCCAGTAGTCATAAATAACTAACAACATGTGTTGTTAGACTATGCGAATGAGTTATTTTATTCATATTTTAAGTAAAAGTATTGTAGTCCTGTAAAAATATAGTTTGAGACATACTAAGACGGGTGCCATATGTGGAGCAGGATATACTTACCCTTCCGGAGCACATGAGATCACCCCCAGTTTTTGGTGGGGTTCGTGTTGCTCAGTCTTTAGTTTTCTATGTTTTGTTTGTTGTACTATTGTTTGTTTGTCTTTTTCTTTTTAGCCATGGCGTTGTCAGTTTATTTATTATTTGTTACGTTTGGAGGACGTGTTTTTCAACAGACTGTCGGAAATCCAATGGGAACCAATTGTGCCCCTCTTCTTGCCGACTTATTTCTTTATTATTATGAGGCTGACTTCATACAGGAACGTCCTAGGAAAAAAGATAAGAAGTTAGCAATATCCTTTAATTTTACGTTCCGCTATATAGATGATGTTCTCTCACTAAGTAATACAAAATGTGGTGACTATGTTGAACGAATCTATCCCATCGAACTAAAGATAAAGGATACTACAGATACAGTTAAGTCTGCCTCATATCTTGACTTATATCTAGAAATTGACAATGAAGGTCGGTTGAAAACAAAACTTTACGACAAAAGAGATGATTTCAGCTTCCCAATTGTGAACTTTCCATTTCTATGTAGCAACATTCCAGCAGCACCTGCATACGGAGTATATATCTCCCATTTGATACGATATTCCCGGGCTTGTATTTACGATCATGATTTACTTGCTAGAGGGTTGCTGCTCGCAAGGAAGCTGTTTAACCAAGAGTTCCAAATGGTGAAGTTGAAATCATCCCTTCGTAAATTTTACGGACGCCTTCACGAGTTGGTTGACCGTTATGTAATAACCGTTTCGCAGATGATATCGGATATCTTCCTTATGTCGTAACTACAATACCCTTCCCTTTTCACGAATGTGACCTACCGAATTAGACTATTTACTGGATTTGTAATAACATAAGCAACACGACGGGTGCCACATGTGGAGCAGGATCTGCTTACCCTTCCGGAGCACCTGAGATCACTCCCAGTTTTTGGTGGGGTTCGTGTTGCTTAGTCTTTAGTTTTCTTTGTTGTGTCATCTGTACTATTAGTTGTTTATTTGTCTTTTTATTTTTGGCCATGGCGTTGTCAGTTTGTTTTCGATCTATGAGTTTGACTGTCCCTTTGGTATCCTTGGCCTCTCTTTAGAGCTGAATTTTTTT